GGAGGCAGTATGACCTCTGAAACGTTGGTTAACATCGACCAGACTACACAGCGCAACAACCCAGAAGACAGAAATCTTTATACTCATCGCCCTGATGACGGAGGCAGTATGACCGCTGAAACGTTGGTAAACATCAACCAGACTACACGGCGCAACAACCCAGAAGACAGAAATCTTCATACTCACCGCTGTGAAAACCTTAAATCTGACAAGATCCATTTTGATGTCATCAAACTCTTTCTACCTGGCACTAGATGAAGGAGTGATTAGTTTCGCACTCCAGCAGCTCCGCTACTGGTAGGTCTACCCACTGATTAACAGGATGGCTGAGCCCCAGAGCGGTTATCCACGCAGTTGCCTGGAAGCGAACTTTAGTTCTCCATCCTGTAGGCAATCACTGTTCTGACTGAGATACCTAATTCTTAATTTTTATTTATATTCTTTGTATTTCCCTTGTAGACGTGGTTTATGGTTCTAGAAGCGAAGCATAACTATATCTTGTCACGTGCAACAGTCATTTTCAATATAGTCCATTGTAAACAACTCCCATTACAACCTGTCCGGGATATAATAAGAACTACCCAGCTCAGTAAATATATAACTCTGCAGATTTTATGTTGTGGTGCCAGAATGCGTCAAGGTCTTATCTTGACAGATCGACGACCTCGTGACTCACGAGGAGAATCGAACTGTGCTTTTATAATAAGATTGATAGTAATAACTCGATAGTTGTACAATATTAGAAGGTGTTGCTGAGACTATGTTGGTCTTTAGTAATAGGTTTATGAACATATTTGCATTAAAACTCCAAACAGATATAAATAGAGAAATGACGCACGTCGAGGAGAAAGCAAGTAGCAAACCGTCATACGTGCAACGTAATAATGAGTCGAATGCAGTACGAGCTATCGATTTAATTTAATAATCAGACGTTAAATATAACCGTGTTTCATTCCTGAGAAGGAACAAATAAACCCGTATTGTTGTGAAGTGCAGTAAATACGTCTTCTTAATATGTTGTTAAAGTAACAAATCTTTATTTGCGTTTCACCAAATATTATTACAGTAATAAAATAAAGAATGATGAGATGGGCTGTGTACGTCACACGCATTGTAAGATGAAAAAGGTTTCGCTATCCTGACCGTGGTTTTTCGTGATTTTTCATCGGTTTTTCCAGTCAAATTCCGTGACGCTTTAAACAATACCACGACCGTTTCCTTCCAGATCCTTTCCGACTCGTCATCAATTAATCATCATATAATTCGACGCTATATAATCTGAGCAACTGACAGCGTCGGCAAATAAACCATACAAAGAAAATATACTATTTGCTAAAGTAATATAACAAAACCATAGGACAAACGATTTATAACTTTCCCACTGTCACATCAGAACCCTGATGATGGGAACAGAGTTGGTTCCCGAAACGTCGCTTTACTACGGTAACCAGTTAACGCGGCTGATTGCCCGAGATGATTTTATAGGCTTCATCTAGGATCTCTATGGGCATAGTCAGCTCTTCACTTCAGTACAAGATCGACAGCTGAAGTAAGGTTAGCGAAGAAGTTTCCCAGGTTATTGTAAACAACTTTTATGGATCGAAGAATGTAACAACTTTAGCAATTTATAATAATAAAGGGAAAAAGAGACGATAAAATTGGAGCAACAGGTCCGGCCGTTTTGTATGATGGCCGCAGATACGATCTGAAAGCATGTACAGCGTCCATAGTTCTCAGAGTGGGAGGCCATCAGATCAGATCGGATCAGCAACTGCAGGGCGAAGTGCTGGCAATATAACGCTGCAATTTGCTGGAATTTTCGTTTGCCCCATCTGATATTAGCACAATGAAAAGAATGAGTACTTAAAAACTGAAGGGAATAAAACTAGATAAAAGAGCTGGAAGATGGGAAGAAGAACGTAAGAATGAAGAATGGAAATCAGATATGTAAGAGGAAGTTTTGCAAACTGATACAATAAAGTTCGGGCCGTGCCATAAGTCACATGGCTTCTCACTTCGTAGACCTAGGTTCAGTCCTGGCTGAGTTCAAGTAAGATTCTTGGTGGAAAAAGCGGCATTGGGGCATTTTTATTTCGGAATTATTCGGGCTTCCCCAGCATCGCCCTATATTCCCCTACCGCCGCTCCACGAGGCGTGCGAGGGCCCTCAGCACGTTATTACATCCTCGGTCAGAACCTCGGGATTTCATCTCCGATCCAGCCAGCACTTACTTATTCTCAGAGTAAAGATGTACTTATAAACGTTTTTCATAAAAAAATATGAATTAATTAGAACAGTTTAAAAACTAGAAACAATTACAAAAATTTTAAGGCTACACATAATTAAGGTGACTTCCCTTATCGCTCTCTTTTTATAAATTTTCAATATAATTTCTTCCATTAGAGCAAGAAATCGTTTCTCGCAATACAGAAAAGGTAAATAGGAGTTTTATGTATTATTATGCAAATTCCATTTTATGGTTTTTAGATACTGTTTAACACTCCGAATGTAAATAACGCACAAAATTAAATTAAAGAAGACGTACCATTGTGAGGCAGATAGCTAACAAAATTCATTTACATTACGTAAATGTACTTCTCATTCACCGTACTTATTCCACGGCGAAACTTCACCGGCAGTAATTTCTCACCCTGCAAACTACAGTAATGAATGTTTAAAACAGAATACAAATTACTGTGATGTTTTCAAGAACCTTTTGTACGAATTCATAAACTGCTTACAAGGTTTCCTATCTGCCCCCAAATTAGTACCGGGCTAATGTTCCAGAAATTAACAACTCTACCTCTGAATCTTTATAAACAAACTTATATCATATAAAGCAATTTAAAAATTATCTTTCTTGCAACTACTGGTATAACATTCGGATTTTCTATTTCGCTTATAAAAAGTTGAATATGTGGCATCAGTTAAAGCAGAATATAGAGTAAAATGTTCTCAGACCACGAATTACCTAGAGCTTCGTAATGTAACTAATATACTCAATTTAGTACTTTGTAGTTTTTAATACCTAGCGAGATAGGCATTTATCTTGGGAAACCCACACGCTGGTTCAGAAAGTCAAATCGCAGTTGGCATCCACGTGGGATACGCTGCTTTGATCTGATATTCTATAAATCATGGATGTACAAAATGCGAAAGTTATGCAATATAAGTTGTATTTTGGTAAGAAATGAAGGGGTTTTGAACGTGCAAGTGTTGTTGGGCGTACACATATAGACTATCATCTTCCTCCAC